CGTCGAGGTACTAAATTTGGATTTTCTCCCGATCGTCACTTTTTTCGACACGGAAGATATTCGCGCTATATTCAAAAGTACGTGCAGAACGCAAGTGAGATTAAACGAATTATTATTTTTCATAGGGATCAATCAGAGAATTTGGAGAAGGTTAGAAACACTGCGTGATCTTACGAGGAAAACCGGTCCTGAGAATAATCACGAGATCACCCGGTGAGAATCGTTTCTTAAACTTCTGTTTTAACATCGCTTTTCATATTTTCTTCCCTCCTTATTCTCTCTCTCTCCCTCTCTCCTCTCCTTCTCTGTCCTTCTCTTTCTCTCTTGATATTACGCAATTCGTAATTTGCCCCGTGAAAAAACTAAGGCCGAAGTTATTCAGCATACACCATATATACGAATCGCATGTTATTAAAATTTCCAGCAAGATTTATTGTGAATAATAATGAAAAGACATACTAAAACCAGTTTTGCTTTACATTATTTATGATAAATGACTTTAATATTTCTAATTCTTAATACTCTATCATGTGTTGCGTAAGACGACACGTGTATAACATTGCGAAAAAATGATTTGCCTCACTATACATCTATGTTGAGGCCAGTTTGTTCTATGTTGTTCAGTCACATACCAAAACCTGTTTTTCACATGAATGGGAAGTCAAAACTCACTTCGCAAAGGCATCAGATGCAAGAAGTTATCACACCACAGCATGAGGAACTTATAAAATTTGTTTATGAATGTAGGTAAAACACAAATGCATATGAATATCTAGTATAATGTAGCATAAATTGCAAGTTGCGTACCTATGGAAACACTACATGTATGTAAAGTTATACATTTTATATTATAAACATATGTCTATTATTTATATATTTTTTATCAATTTAATTTATTCTCAACAGCATGGAATCAAGTCAACATACGACAAACAAATGAATGTTGTGATGGCACAGAATGTACACAACTTTGCAGTAAGTAGTGATAAAACAAATTAAAATTAATTTATGACTTATATAATCTATATATATATATATGTATATATATATGTGTGTATATATATACTGCTTATTTTTTAAGATTTCATCAAAATATAAAACTGAATATACCAAAGAAAAATATTGTGAACTTATATTTTGTTTAAATATTTTGTTTACTACAGATCCTAATTCAATAGTATATTACGATGGTGAGCCAAATGATAGTCTTCAAGGTAAATCATATCACTACTTATAGTTAAGTTTTACTAAAAAATGTTATTAATATTCTTCAAATTACTCATGAAATTATTTCCAAAATAGTATGTATATGAATGTGTGTATGTGTGCATGCATGTGTGCTGTATATGAGCGCATGTGTGTGTTTGTACATAAATACATGCTGTTTACATATTTTATAATTGTGTACAATAATATTAAACACAATTGTGTGATAGTTTGCTTATCATACTTATTTTAATTAAGGTTGTACTGTATCCATGCCAGTATCACTAATAAAAATATATTGTTGCAGATTTTAAACCATTTGATTTAGAATCTTGGTGGGGTAAACGACTATTCAATAATATCACAAAGTCACTCTGAGACACTCAAATAGTAACAAGTGTTTCTTCCTGAAGGTGCAGTGCTAGATAGTATACAACAGCAGCTGTGACATACAAAATAACCAGTGTCACTTTCGGAGTGTAATTTAAACCTGATCAGGTCTGAAGTTATTATAATGTCGAATATAACGTTCAAGAGTGAACTCGATATATATATATCGACTTCTATCAAATTATTAAGAAAGGTCATTGAAATTACACGCATAAATAACGTCACAAAGTCACTAGGCAGTAATATAAAATTCGAACATACGTGACAGCTTCAAACGTGCACGCGTGTGCTAGAGTAGTCAAACCACATTGTTACCCGAAAATAATTTGAATCGTTTATATACATTTGTTAACGATCTTTTATCAAATATAGATATTTCTTTATTGTTGCTCTATTGTTAGAATTGCTCAATTTTAATATCATAGAGTGTTTTGACACTCTTGTACAGTGAGCTTCGTAACACTGGAGCAAGATCGCAGAACTTTCAGTAGACCAATAAGGAATAATATAAAATATATATAATTGCAAGGCCATCATTATTAGAAAATATTGGAGTTTCGATTAAGTTTTACAGTTACACCAAAGTTAGAAGGTGCAAGCTAAAATATACCATACGAACTAAGTAGAGCTAAACGAAAATTGCCCAATTTCTCTTTCCACCATGGTATGAATCCTCTGTGAGGTTAAATTTTTAATTATAGAATGTTGTACATATCGCTACAATGATCGCATGAATGCATGATAGTCTTACGTATTACAAATTATATCCGAATACTACTCTTATGTAAGCGAAGATTTAGCATAAAAACGTAGACTGATAACATTTAAGAAAATTAATATACTGTTGCTCGCGGAATTGTAGTCAAATGCAATTCGCGTTACAGAGTATCATCAATTAAATTGTTATATCATGGCTGGTTAAATTGTTTCTACCGCCGTTGTGTTATATATTTTCGTCAAACTATTATACATTAGATAACATATATGTGAACCTTCGTCGATCATTTAAAACCGTTATGATCCATGTCCATGTATGTAACAGAAAACAATTTGCAACAGTAGTTGAAATGTAGTACAATGAAATTTGGCTAAATGTGGCTGAATTACATCATTAATAAATATTTCTTTATACATGTATGTGATATTCTTCCTCACTTCATATTTGATGTCTGATGATGTTCTTGTGAAACATAAATTTATCATTGAGTAAATATAATGAAGTAATGTGATGTATAGTATGTTCTAAAAGTTCAGTAATGATAAAAATATCTAAAAATAAAGTATTTCATAGAAAATATATTGATAAATATATAGAATACTGGTATTAGCTCCGATTTCTCTGATCTTTACATATGTTATTAAGGATATGTTTCAGAATAATCTGCAATTTTAGATGTCACTTTTTATAAAAGAGTTATGAATAAAATAATTTTGAGGAAATAAGTATACCTGCGTGCGACAAATCCATAGTATTGTAAGTCTTTAACACCGTGCAATAAATATAATTTTAGAAAAATAACATTAATCATTGCTCATTGTTTATTAAAAAATTATTGAAAAAGGTTTCTTAGATAGAGTTTAGTTTTCTGATACAATGTACATTAAAAATTTTGAATAGTACATATAAGCGGGGGAGGGGCGTGGTCCCTCCCCCAAAAAAACTTCAAACCTAATCTGACTTTTTTATGTGAAAAAACCAACGACATACATACCTAGATCAAGCATTTGCATACTTTCACTATAACAGCAAGTGAAGTCGGAATTTGGCAGTTTATAAGTGAGAGAGAATGTTGATTTGCGTTTGTTTTCTCACTTTTGACTTATATGACAAAAGAGCAATTAACCTTAACAATTTTACTGTAAACAGTATGCGCGGATACACATACAAGAAAAAATACAGAATATAAAATATGATGTTTTGTTACATTTCTGGCATATACTTGAAGCATAAGTCCGATGTCTGAATGTTTCGGTTTTCTAGTTTTAATATTTCTTGCTTATTTGTATTTTTCAGCTTATATCCAAGTTATTTTCCCGAGCTTAACCTGCCATTATTATTAACATCTTATTTAGACTCCATATTTTTTTTCTTTTATATATTTTATATTTTTCTTTTACATATTTGTCTATAAATATATACTTAAGGGGATCCTGGAGTCGTCTGTTTTACCGACAAATTGACTCAATTTTCTTAAACACTTCTTTTTATTAGCTATACAGATTGAAAAATTCTTTTGTACAGCGAAAGTACTTATAATAACGAAGTGCGGAAAGCAGAGTTTTTATGTAAAATTTAATGAAAAATTAAAAAATTACAGTTTTCGTTATCATATTCTGCATCAGCTCGTAACTTTACTTATTAATTATAAAAGTTCTGCAGTTTATCCATGCAAAAGCTTTTGCTTCCGTACTAGCCATGATATGAAAGAATAATACTAAAGTAATAGAAATGAGCTCAGAGATCAGTGTAAAAAGAATAGTGTTTATGAAAAAATAGTTTGGATGTGTGTGTGTGCGGAATATTTTTCCTACATTTTGGGGTAAAACAGAATAGAAGATTAGTTCCGCATAATTGTAATCGATGGAGCTGCAGGCAGACACAATCGTACTATCCTTGTCTCTTTCATGCGTAGAGTAATATTATGACAATGAAACTGTAGTTGTTAAATTTTTTGTCGAATTTTACATAAAACTCTGCTTTCCAGACTTCGTTATTATAAGTACTTTCATTATGCAAAAGGATTTTTTAATCAGTGTAGCTAATAAAAAGATTAGTGGTTGAAACTCTCTCGTATCTTGGTTTCCTCGATTGCACGCTCATCAAGCTGCGTTTGCAATCAGTCGGAAGACATTGTCGTATGTCGCACGTATGTCGTACCAATCACAACCTCACATGTGGTGTCTTCAATAAAATTACGTTTAAATTAAATTAACTACACATATATATATATATATATATATATAATTAATATATATATAGAGTTAATTTAATTTATAATTTATATATATATATACATATGTCATAAGACGTTAAACTTGCACATTCTCATTATTTTGTTCTAATGCAAATATTTAAATTTTCAACATAGAATACATATATATATATATATTAAATGTATGTATATATATTAATTATGATCGAAAATTTAAATATTCATGTTTAAAAATCAAAATAATAAGAATTTCCAAGTTTAGGTATATATCCGGGTATCGGCACTTTTACTTTAACTACTAATATGTTATTAAAAAAGCAACATTTCTTTATTGTACCAAAACTTATTTGTAGAATCTCATTTGTATTTGTACGGTAATATATTTCCTCTCTTAGCACATTAAAATGACAGTGCACAAGGTGAAAAATATAATTCTTTACAAAGATTGATTGCCTATTTTGTAAATTGATATACAGCCACAAATAAACTTACTTCAGAAACATCTGTATATAATATATATAGTAATACCTGCAGTAATATAAGTCATAATAATTACACGCACTCTCTCTCTTTCATTTTGTACACTGTTATTGTAATTTATTATGAGAGAAAATATATTATCACAATACAACTACAAATAAGATTATAACAAACAAAATAAGATTACTACAATGAGATTCTAGAAAAGATTATGCAAAATTTTGATATGGAAAAGAAATATTGTTCCTTCAATAAGTCTAACATATGAGCAACTAAGTATGGCTAATTCTGTTACATTGCCCAAGATTCAAATAGAGGAGACAGCAATAATGAATTCACACTGGTATTTATCGCCCTCTAATCTCGCATAACAATAACATGATGAGACTTACATGTCAGCGGATTTATTAATTATCTTAGCTAAAGAAAATCTGAAATAAGATGATGCGGTACGCGCCGTCAGTTGTCTGCGATTGTTATCGTAGATGGTACAGAGAGACACCAGTCACACATGATGCTCGTTTTAGCGCTGAAAAATTATCCGTCACATTTTTCACTTATATCTCTGCAACCAGTAGAGATATCGACATCAGTAGCAAAGCATTACATTGCACGTATTCTGTTTTCCATGGATTAGTAGTTTATAAGGGTAAGAATAATGAGCATTCGTTAATTAGCGTGGAAGTACGTAGGCCTTGCCTCGTGCCGCTATCCCAAATCTATAATTTGAATACTCATTATTCGTGTCATTAAAAAAAAAATTTAAGAGTCACCGCCAGATAAGCAGGGTGAATAAGAACAAACATAAACTTGTGCTCACGCAAGAAAACAAAAAGAAGATGAACAGTTTTAACATGGTTTCACATGTGAATTCATATATGCGGTTATCAAACCATTTTATTTGTTTTAATCTTTTCGGAAACCAAAACATATAAATAAATAAAAAGTAAAACTTGGAATGAAAAGAACCTGTTTTTTTCAGTATGTGTGTGTGTGTGTGTGTATATGTATGTTGCACAATCTGTGTGATGTAACAATCTGAATATTAGTACAGTAAAAAAGTTGCGAATATTATATGAAGAATGTTGTGTACATGATAATAATAAGTGATAATAGAATATATGAAATACACATATATATTATTGACATATAAACATTTTGATTAATTCAGCATTCAACTTATTAATTTATTATCTCACAGTAGTGATGCGAATTTAGTGACTAGCTTGCACGAAAATTTTTCTCGCCATGCACGCACACACAGCCGGCTCGGTCTTTCGGTGTGAGCCACACGGACGCGATCGGCAATCGTCGGCGCGCCGAGCGAGAAAGAATATCATTCTCTCCTTCTCGCTCTCGTTCCCGCTCAGCGAGCGAGCCTAATTCTTTCTCGCCTATATCGCCTGAATCGCGGGTGCGACTCTCCTCTCTCTCCTCTCTTCTCTATGACAATACTGAAAGTTTTCTCTACTCGGCGCGCCGAAATTATTATGTATAATACTTTATTATTAATATTATTATTTGTAATATTTATTATTTGTAATTTTATTTGTAATTGTATAATAATGCTACAAATAATACAAATTTTTACAAATAAAATTTGTAAAAATTTGTACCATTTGTAATATTATTTCCAATAATATTAATAATATTCGACGTCAAGAAAATGAAATATATGTTATTAATTATGTTGCGGAGGCGGGCAGGTTTACAGGTTTGACTATTGAATTGTTTAATATTTTAAGAATAATTTTAAGTTGTACAAGGATTGTTGTAAAAGAACATTTGAAGTTGTAAAAGAATCAAGAAGTATGAAATGAAACCACCTTACTTTTATTACAATACCCTCTAAATTAACAAATATTCTTCATACAGTATAAAATAAT